CTGTAGTAGTTTTAACAAGACAGAGTAAAAATAATGGTTTTCGTTTTTTATTGATTTTTTTTGTTTTAATTTTATTGGAATAATAATAATACAATCTGCCACAATCAAGGGCATTGGGTATTAAGTTTTTTATTTTCTATTGATAGAAAATTTATCTTAATTTTTTTTTTAGTAGCCTGTTACAATTCGTAGGCCTCCTCGAATTAAGAGGGTATGGTATAACATTCCGAGGGGACCAGGCGTATTGGGAAGAATCGCCGAGATTCGATCCTGTGATCTTAGCTTTACTAGTATAGTGCGCCGACCACTCTGCTACACCGGCCTCGTGATTAATTTTAATTAAATAATAATAATTAAGTTTAGGATGTTAACTGTATTTTTTTAGTCAGAAAATTACAATAACGATTCTATTTTTTTTTTTTGTGTTCTATATGTTTTTTAGCCTGGAATGTAAAATTTAGAATGTGGAGTCAAGTATGTTTCAGTGATGAAAGCAATGTCAGTCCATTTTTCATGTAGGTACATGTCAAGTTCAGACATGTGTTGGTGTATACTATTTGCGTTCCAGAGAAGAACCGACATGGAGCCCACAGTCAACCGATTAGTAGCCATAACTGGAGGATTACGTTTGTGCAACGTGGGACAGTTCTTGGAGAAGGCTAGATAGAAACTGGATGAGGTTATTCAATCCACTAACTAAGTCAAGGAGATGAAGGTGATTTCCTGGGAATTTCGTAGGAGAAGTTCCCAGTTTTGATACTAGATTTTAAGAATCATGTTTTGAAGGACCTGAATGAGTTTGCTGAATCTGCGGAAGAGAAGGAAACTCGTCTATACCTGAGGATGCGCTAGTTTGTGCTTTTTTGGGACTTTGCATATTTTTACGAAGATTGCGTACTTCCCTCAGTTGTTTTATAGTTACACAACCTCTATAATTTGCTGGATGGGATCCGCTACAATTCGCGCATGTTGCTGCGGTCTCTCTTGTCTTTTTGCAGACGGTGATATCATGTCATTAGCCATATCTTACGTAATTTGGGGAGTGATTACAGTAAGCCTTCGTGTGGTTTTACTGCTGACAACGAATGGACTGTGGAATCATTCTTTTCTTTCTTGATTCTTATATTTTCACTCTAGTATAATAAAAGAATTCAATATAAAAAATGTTGTCATTATATGTGGCTTTCGAGATATCGATAAAGAGCAAGGGAAGTGGATTTTTATATCGGGAAATAATAACGTTCACAATACTTGTGGCCTCGTAGCCTAGGCATTTTAATTCGTATTTTATAGTTTCATTGGAGTAGCATGGTGTAAGTTTTTTAATACGATTCTCGGATTTCTATCTTCTATTAACTGATAGGTTAATAAATGAATCGTTCAAATAACCCTGCTTTCTTATCCGGTAAAATCATCAACAATAGCAACATTACATACCATTCATGGTGATAAGACACACTTCATCAACTCTCATGCATAAAATTATATTATGCGAACTTCAGCGGTCGACGAAACGGTCTGCTCTGAAGATGAGAGTTTATACATTGCTGGTATTTATAGTAAGTATTTTACTTATGTTACTAATAAAACTAAATTGCAATATTTTTTTTTTTTTATGTATAGTGCTACATATCATCATAACTTCCTCTTCTTCATATCATGAGATATTGATTGACTAGTTTCTATAAACAGTTCTTTATTGGTCCTTTATACATTTTCTTTAGGATAATCTTTTAAATAGGATTTTTCCTTAAAATATTTCAATACTTCTTACTTGGTTGGTTACTTGCTGTATATCAAAACAGACTTTATAATAGCATTATGAACTATTTATAGGATGTAAAAAAAAAAAATGACCGCTTTTGAACCAAATATTTGTATTATTATTTCTTTGATATAAAATACAATTAATACTTTGGGATGGCTGTCAAAGAACTCTTGGACCGCGATTTTAACTTTACAAAATTAATATTTTTTTCCCTTGAATAAAATGAGTCATGGACTAAATAAGTAGTAATCTGATGGTACGAGGCCTGGACTATATGGTGGATGAGGCAGAAGTTTTCAGGCAAGGGTTTTTTAAAATAAATTTTCTCAAATTTCTAACCTCTTAGCTGATTGCTAACGAGTAAGTTTGTGAGGGACCAGTCTACTGCTCTTTTTTACCTTTCCCAAGGTGAGTAGATGACGAATAACAGTGTTTTCGACACACCACACTCCCTGGCATGTTCGCGAGCACTTGTGAAAGGATTTGACTCAACAGCAGAACCTCATCAATATCTATTAATAGTCGCCTGGAACCCTTTCTTTCTTTCCAACGTCGTATCTCCACAGCTAATTTTTTTCGAAACAACGCCGCGCAGTGCGTTGGTGAAGGACATATTCCTCTTCACATTCAATAATTTCACGAGTAGTTTCATCGGTTGTGAAATTATTTTTCCAGCAATGCCTTAAAATTACGAGAGTTTCGTTGGACACTGTCATGTTTCTACTTTGAAACAAATAATTAAACTGAGATTTTTTTTTTTTGAAGAAGTTGAATGGGATTAAACAAACTTAGATAATGCTCTAAAGGGATTATTAAGTATTTAATAGGATTAAAATATTTACAGTTCTTTGAAATTTTGATAAAACTATATTTATTTTTTATACACCCTATTACATGCTATTCAATTTCCTACCATTAGCTATTCTCTGAGATTATTGTAGAGGCGAGGTATTGAAATCTTTAGTCTTGGGAACAATTTATTCGCAGGCCACGTTGTAGGGGTGAAATATTTGGTTTATTATCATATATTTTGTTTTACCCTCATTTACTTGTAGACAGATTCGTTCTATTTCAATTTCAGTGTCTTATCAAATTTCTCAATGTCCGCTTCCAAGGATTGCCGAATTATCCGCCTATCCAATGATTTTATGACTAAAAACAATATATTTTTTTATACTTTTATTATGATATTTACAACTGTATTATAATGAATACATCAAGTAAATGTGTAAAGAGAAATATTTCAACACAAAACACGCTTGTTGAGAAATTACCCATTGGTAGCACTCTAATAATTTGTCTACATGAGAAGATCACGAGGCCATCTACTTCAGAGGGTTATCAGACGCTTCGGAGGGTTATCAGGAATCGAAGAGGAAGCAAGGTTAGAAACAAGAGGATTCGGATGGTTATGGAGTTTATTATGGAAGGATAGGTATTTGGATTTGGCCAAATCGGAAACATATGGAACATTGAGTTCTTTATGGATTATTTTATTAGTGACAAAGTAAGGAGCATTGAGGATTTTACTAAGGATTTTGGATTATAAGGATTGGATGCGGGAGGAATTCGATGGTTTAGTGGAGCCCCATAGCTCAACTTCGTAAGTCGAAATAGAACTTATTACAGTCAAGTATATGAGTCTTTTGTAATTAATGGGAAGTTTAGAGCGTTTGTCTAGTAAGTGTTGGCGTAGTCGGAAACGTCGAGCGGTTTATTGTCGTTTCAGTCTGGTATGAGGATTCCAAGTTAGACGTTTGTCCAAGTGAAGTCCAAGGGATCGGATTTGTTCAACAGAGATAAGTGGGGTATTATTAAAGGATACTGTGGGAAATGAGGTCATAGGTTTACGTCGAAGGGTAAAGGTAAGGTGATTTGATGGGATTTATTAGAATTTATTTTAATCCTCCAGTTTTGACACCATTCTTCAAGGCTTGTGATGTGTGATTGAAGAGTTTGGAATGCAATGGTTAGGTCATTATTAATTGATAGGACTCATGTATCATCGGCATACGTGGTAATAACAGTGTTAGGATGGGTTGGGATGCCAGCTGTATAAACTGTGTAAAGGATAGGACCAAGGATACTACCTTGAGGAACTCTGGCAGATTGAGAAAAGAGGGATGAATAGGTATTATTGTGATTTACTTTGAAGTGCCTATCAGTAAGATAGGAACTAATGATAAGAAAATATGTAGGAGGAAGGAATGTACGGAGTTTGTAAAGCAATCTCGGATGCCAGACTCGATCAAACGCCTGTTCAACGTCGAGAAAAACTCCAGTGCAATACATTCTGCGCTCCAATGCAGAGGAGACGACGTCTACCACACGATGACATTGCTGGATAGTGGAATGGGATGTGCGGAATCCAAATTTTTGAACAGGGATTATGTGGTTAGAATCTAGGATGGGATACAGGGGTTTTCAGATGAGCTTCTCCAGGATTTTGCCCATGATGGGTAAAAGAGAGATAGGACGGTAAGAGGATGGGTATTCTGGTGGCTTTTTGTTTTTATATATCATTTTGACTACAGATAGTTTCCAAGGGTCAGGAAAATATGTGGAACGGAGTACGGCGTTATAAATGTAAGTAAGGAATAGAATGGAAAAAAAATAATATAAGTATAAATCGTGTGATTTAAATTTTTCAAATGTAGATACGTATGCATTACTCTCCCCCTCTCCCTTGTTATGTGATAGCTGAATTTTGAAACCTAGAACTATGAGGTACTTACGAAATAGCATTATCTCTGGAAATAACGGTGTATAGGATAGCGTTAAGGTCCTAAACATCGAAGAATTCCGGTTGGGGAAGCTTATGATACTTAGGGATATCGTGGAACAAAACCTTCAGTCGCTGAGTTTTCCCCAGGCCAGGGGTGAAGGCGAGGATTAATGCCAGAGTTAAAAGCCCCCTGGCTCCGCGATTTGAACATACAAACTTTGGTTTGTCACCGGCTGCTTCTGGCTCACATGTTAGCCCGCTCAACGATTCCGCCTCTGATTCTTGCTAATCTAAGAAAGCTACAGTTTCCTTTAGGTTCACCTAATGTGAACATGCCGTTTTAAAGAGTGACTATTTTTTATCTGGATTTGGTAGTGCACACTTTCAATAATCTTACCCAACTTTCATGAATTATTGTAGTACCAGCGATCTAAAACTTAGTCGCGAATGTTGAATCTATGAGCTGGAGGTAGATTAAATGTAACTTTCTTCATGGGTTTTGTGAGTATGGGTTTGACTACATCGAGTCCCGGAAGAATACTGCTGTTCAAATATATTTTACCATTAAGGAGAGGTGTCTGAACAATATTTCACGAAGTATATGCTTAAGCCCACCGGATTTGGAATTCATGCTTTCTAATTTAATGCCAGCTAACCCAGAATATCTTGATCGTCTAACAAGGAAAAATCATGGCATTCACTCAAATTATAATTATAATAAACTATGAGTGGAGAAGAAAACAATAAAGGGAACAGTTCGATGTAGTTGTTATTTTTTCTGCGATAATAGAACTTGCATTTAACTTGACTCTGAAAGAATATATTTATATTTGTTATAATACGTCAATTGTTTTGCGATTTCATAAGTTTATTTTTTTCTATACTTTTCATCCAGTTTTCTATTAAGAAAAGGAATAAATTATATTATGTATTAATTTATCCCCACATATATTATTACAGTAAGGTTCGAAATCAGTTTTGTACAAAATACAAGCTCCATATACCATGCTCAATGACCATGAATGGGGTACCGTTGGGTTCAGAATTTCACGGGGGGTTAGCGAATCGTATTCTACACTTTTGTTTTTCTTTCTAAAATAAATAAAGTAGATACAAACATTTTGCTAGGCTTCAATACTGGAACGGTGGTAGGTCTGTAGATCGATGCGGTACAAATTGGACCTTGAAGATTTTGATGCGTACAGCAAGACCCGGATAGTTCCTGCGGAACTATCGGATCCTGCGTTTTGAAGCCCAAAAACGTACTATTTTCGAGATAACGCAAGGCATGGGGTTCGCATCCACACAACCTGACGATAATTGTAGTACTATAATTGGATACATGTCTCATGCCGTCGACTTAAGGTCTCTATGATCGAGAGAGTAGGAGTTTATATTATTTAGCGATGGTGTTTTTGATCGGCAAGCTACATCATCGTTAATTCTTCACCAAATCTCAATCACCAGTTTTGAAGGCTGCCCATGATTATATAAAACATTACTAAATTCCCTACAAAAGGAAAAAAAATCATAAAAATCGAACAATTTTTTGCAAAGATACAGCTTATTGAAATTTGTAAATACGTTGGTTCCAACCAAAAATGAAGATTTAAATTAATTTTGTTTCTTTTGTCGATTAAATTTATCAATAAAGTAACAATTGATTCCTTTATGTTATGATGCGTTGCATTATTTTCTTTTCTTATTAATTAGACATTTGATAACAATATGCTGTGCGAATTTTTAAATATGCTGTGTAATATGGTTATTATCTAGCCAATTTTTCTTACAGCTTTCTTCACTAAATTGTCCAGATAATTACTAAACTCGCAGGTTACTGCATCTGATTTATGTATTTATTATTAGGACTGAATACAAAGAACATTTTGATTACAGTAAGACCTTGAAAGTCATTGGCGCAAGATAAGTTTCGAATGGAAAAAAGAAAATCTAGTATCAGTTGAGTAATAATTTATCCTATGACAATAAGAAATTTTAGTATTTATTAAGAAATAACTTATTTCCAAATTTTTTTTAGCCATACCAACAAATAACTCATCAAAACATTATTTTGAGAACTCAACAAATATTTTGAATGATATATAGCAAATCGAAAAATAAGTTTAGTATTATGAATAACGTTAAAGCACTGATTTAATTTATTATTTTTTTATTTATTGAGTATTAGAACAATCTGTCACTTGGACATTACTTATAGTGAGGTAGAACAACATTCACACTATATGTACAAAATATATATATATATATATATATAAACTAAGTAGAAGCAAAATAACAATAAATAATAATCAAAAAGTATATAGAACAAATAAAACAACTTAAAAATAAGAAAATTAAAATAAAACAAAAAACTCAACGGAACTCCGAGGCAGGGCTTGTCTCTCCAACTATGGAGGGGAAAAAAAGCGCTGATTAAAGAAAAAATACTACATTATTAAGACGTCAAGGTCTATTTATTTTTCTAAAATTCTACTTATATTATTCTATAATACATCATAATTGATAGAAATTGATTCAATATACCTAAGCTAGGATAAGATAACCTGATATTCAGATGATAACCAGAGTATTTTAATTTATAACTATTTTTATTTAAATCTTAGGATTACAGGCAATATCCAAGATTACCATTTTTTTTTTTTTTTTACTAAATCTGTATATTTAGTTGATTTAAAATTGGTTTGAATTTGGAAAGGAACTAGAGAAAAAAATAATAAGAAAAATAAAATAAAATATATATAAAATACTTTACATTCCTCCAACTACCAAATTTATTTTTCCATTAAATTCAGTAAGGAATTTCAAGGAGTACCTTGAGGGATTTTTGACTGTTTCGCTAAATAAAACCTCGTCGAATAAATATATTTTAGATATTTCTAAACCAAACATAGAATCTTTTATTAGCAATATATACTCAAATAATAAATTAATGAAGAGTATAACTAAGCTGAGATCCTCTAATGATCATCGTTATGCAAAATTCATTGAGGAAAAAATTTATAGAGATTCCTTCGCAAATCGAATTAATGAATTACTGATTCCTTTACGGAGAAGACATATTAAAACGAGACAGATGTTAAATAAAATTATATCTTTAATTGATATTTATGAATGGTTCGCAGAGAGAATATTTCGAAGTTGTGTAATTCGAGATAAAAACTGCTTGAATAAAACAAACGCTTGGTTAAGATCGATTCTAAATTCCTTTAATTGCATACTACACGGAATGTGCCAGAACATTAATAATTATATGAATCACTCAATAAGTAAAAGAACAATTTGTCCTACTCATCAGTTTAGTTGTAAATATGGTAAATGCATTAGAAGAAATTTGTTTTGTAACGGTATATGTGATTGCACAGATTGTAGCGATGAACCTCCTGATTGTGGAAGGCAGTGCTTTGAATTTCGCTGTAAAAATTTTCACTGTATTTCGTATGATAAGAAGTGTAATGGCGTTGATGACTGTGGAGACGGAACAGACGAGGCAGGATGTCAACAAATTAGCATAGTGAGACCGCAATATCGTTCGATTTTTGAAAAGGAAGGAAAGTTCTTATGCAGCAATATGGAGTGTGTCGATCTACAACAGATATGTGATGGGTACAATAACTGTGGTGGCTGGTCCGACGAAGGAGTTCATTGCAAAGTAGTAGAGTGTTCCCCGAGATGTAACAGTATGGACGGGGTGTGCATATCAAGACCCATATTATCTGAGTGCGTGATAGAATGCCCTCCTGGAATCTTTAAGACTTCAAAAGGATACAGCTTTAAACCAGGAGTTCCATTAACATTCTTGGTGCTGTTTCATGAAGATATGCCACGTCGTGAGATAAGATATACAGTCAAATTGAAATTCCTGAAATTTAAAGCGATAAAGATGATCTCTAAAACTTTTGAAATGGTTGTAGAATGTAAAAAAAACAGCTTTAGTCTATTATCTGCGGTTATTAAGAAATCAGATCAGACTGTTAATATTAGAAAAGTTGATCGTCATCGTGCAGCTACCAATATAAAAAAAGAAATCAAACGATATTGGGACGCAGATTTTTATACAGTAGACTCATATAGTACTGAGACCGAAGAAAACGAAGAAGAAGAAGAAAATACGCCAACTACAAAATTAACCACCACAACTACGCCATCGACTATAACAACCATAACTACACCCTCGACTAGAACAATAGGAATAATGTCTTCAACCATAAATGCCACCAAATCCACACCCAAGTCTACTAAAATCACTACTACCCTAACGAATACAACCATTGCTAAACAAAACATTTTCACGCCTACCATCACTACAACTACTACTACAACCCCTCCGACTATCACAATCACAACTGACCCAACATTTACCATAACTACTCCTACGAGTATCACAACCAAAACAACAATCAAGACTACAACCACCACAGATATCCCAATGATTACCTCTACGACAATCACAACTATCCCTACGACTAGTACAACCACAACTACCCCCACGACTACCACTACCACACACACACCAACTTCTACTACTAACGGAACCACACCCACGAATACCACTATCACAACTACAGCCAAATCGCCTTCCACACTTACACCTACCCCTATGATCACCACAACCACAACTATCCCCACGACTACTACTACCAAACCCACACCAACTTCTACTACCACCGTAACCATAGCCACGAATGCCACTATCACAACTACAGCCAAATCGACTTCTACGCTTACTCATACCCCTATGATCACCACAACCACAACTATCCCCACGACTACTACTACCACACCTACACCAACTTCTACTACTACTGCAACCATAGCCACGAATACCACTATCACAACTATAGCCAAATCGACTTCCACGCTTACACCTACCCCTATGATCACCACAACCACGACTATTCCCACGACTACTACTATCACACCCACACCAACTTCTACTACTACCGCAAGCATAGCCACAAATACCACTATCACAACTACAGCCAAATCGACTTCCACGCTTACACCTACCCCTGTTATCACCACAACCACAACTATCCCTACGACTACTACTACCACACCCACACCAACTTCTACTACTACCGCAACCATACCCACAAATACCACTATCATAACTACAGCCAAATCGACTTCCACGCTTACACCTACCCCTATGATCATCACAAACACAACTATCACCACGACTAATACTACCACACCCACACCGACTTCTACTACTACAGCAACCATAGCCACAGATACCACTATCACAACTACAGCCAAATCGACTTCCACGCTTACACCTACCCCTATGATCACCACAACCACAACTATCCCCACGACTACTACTACCACACCTACACCGACTTCTACTACTACCGCAACCATAGCCAGAGATACCACTATCACAACTACAGCCAAATCGACTTCCACGCTTACACCTACCCCTATGATCACCACAACCACAACTATCCCCACGACTACTACTACCACACCTACACCGACTTCTACTACTACCGCAACCATAGCCACAGATACCACTATCACAACTACAGCCAAATCGACTTCCACGCTTACACCTCCCCCTATGATCACCACAACCACAACTATCCCCACGACTACTACTACCACACCTACACCGACTTCTACTACTACCGCAACCATAGCCACAGATACCACTATCACAACTACAGCCAAATCGACTTCCACGCTTACACCTACCCCTATGACCACCACAACCACAACTATCCCCACGACTACTACTACCACACCTACACCGACTTCTACTACTACCGCAACCATAGCCACAGATACCACTATCACAACTACAGCCAAATCGACTTCCACGCTTACACCTACCCCTATGATCACCACAACCACAACTATCCCCACGACTACTACTACCACACCTACACCGACTTCTACTACTACCGCAACCATAGCCACAGATACCACTATCACAACTACAGCCAAATCGACTTCCACGCTTACACCTACCCCTATGATCACCACAACCACAACTATCCCCACGACTACTACTACCACACCTACACCGACTTCTACTACTACCGCAACCATAGCCACAGATACCACTATCACAACTACAGCCAAATCGACTTCCACGCTTACACCTACCCCTATGATCACCACAACCACAACTATCTCCACGACTACTACTACCACACCTTCACCAACTTCTACTACTACCGCAACCATAGCCACAGATACCACTATCACAACTACAGCCAAATCGACTTCCACGCTTACACCTACCCCTATCATCACCACAACCACAACTATCCCCACGACTACTACTACCACACCCACACCGACTTCTACTACTACCGCAACCATAGCCACAGATACCACTATCACAACTACAGCCAAATCGACTTCCACGCTTACACCTACCCCTATGATCACCACAACCACAACTATCTCCACGACTACTACTACCACACCTTCACCAACTTCTACTACTACCGCAACCATAGCCACAGATACCACTATCACAACTACAGCCAAATCGACTTCTACGCTTACACCTACCCCTATGATCACCACAACCACAACTATCCCCACGACTACTACTACCACACCTACACCAACTTCTACTACTACTGCAACCATAGCCACGAATACCACTATCACAACTATAGCCAAATCGACTTCCACGCTTACACCTACCCCTATGATCACCACAACCACGACTATTCCCACGACTACTACTACCACACCCACACCAACTTCTACTACTACCGCAACCATACCCACAAATACCACTATCATAACTACAGCCAAATCGACTTCCACGCTTCCACCTACCCCTATGATCATCACAACCACAACTATCACCACGACTACTACTACCACACCCACACCAACTTCTACTACTACAGCAACCATAGCCACAGATACCACTATCACAACTACAGCCAAATCGACTTCCACGCATACACCTACCCCTATGATCACCACAACCACAACTATCCCCACGACCACTACTACCACACCTACACCGACTTCTACTACTACCGCAACCATAGCCACAGATACCACTATCACAACTACAGCCAAATCGACTTCCACGCTTACACCTACCCCTATGATCACCACAACCACAACTATCTCCACGACTACTACTACCACACCTTCACCAACTTCTACTACTACCGCAACCATAGCCACAGATACCACTATCACAACTACAGCGAAATCGACTTCCACACTTGCACCTACCCCTATGATCATCACAACCACAACAACTCATTCGACTACCACAATTATCTCTACGACTACTACTAACACAACCACAAATACTCTCTCGACTACTATAGCTACTACGAACACTACAAGCACAACTACTCCGACTATAAATACTTCTTCGACTAACAGCATAACCACAGTTAGTCCTACAACTGCTAAAATGAGAATTACGCGCTCGACTACCTCAACTACGCCTACAACTACTACAAACAGAACTATCCGTACGTCTTTCATAACCAGTACCATCCTCTCGATTAACACAATCACAACTACCACTACGAATACCATAACCACAACTATACCTACGACTAGTATAACCACAATTACCAGAACTACAACCATCCCCTCGACATCTATTTCCAAGATTACTGCAACCACAACTACTCCTACGACATATAGAAGTTCTGAACAAGATCACGGCAAAACAGAGATAGACGGCCTTAATACCGTTATGAGAAGTATTATATGGAATAAAGCTAAAGTAGAACACAAAGTTCTCACATCCACTAAAACTATTCCAACGATAACATTTATCAGAATTACCCCCACGAGTACAGCAACCACAGGTATTTTGACAATTACTACAACTCCTGTGACTATATTAAGCAAAATTTCAACAGCTCTAACCAGGAAAAAAACACCTACCTTTTTCATTGCAACTAAAAAGATTAAAAAAAACAGGAAACATAGCAAGCGTCGTTGCAAGAAGCGTCGTTGCAAGAAGCGTCGTCACTCAAGTATATGGGATTGGTAATTAGATATTTTTTTTAAAACGTAAATGTTTAAGTTGTGTAATCCTTTTTCTATAAGCAGATGCAGCCTGAATTAATTAAATTTGATTCTATAGATAACAATATTAGTTAGCCTTCTCTAACATCTTCCTATCTGTTCCAGACAAACAGTGATGGAAAACAATTTAGAATAAAATATTACAACCTATACTACCGTTCTATTATTAAGGAAGGAGATGGTCCGGGGTGGCGGTCATAAATAGACTGAATAGTTGGGAAACTATTTTATTAAAAGCCAACGTTTCGACCCGACTTTACTGAGTTAAAACTGAGTTCTAAGTGAAACTCCTTGCTGAACACTTCTTCCTGAAGAAGATCTACAAAGTCGGGTCGAAACGTTGGCTTTTAATAAAATAGTTTTGCCACTATTTATGACTGCCAACCCGTACCATTTCCTTCTTTTATGATTCGTAATGTTATAATGTTAGCTTTTAACATTTTTGGAGTTTTTCATTATTATAATAAAGGCTTAGCGAACCCAAAGATACGATGTCGATGCCACCAATCACTGTCTACAGACCGGACCCCGCCCAAACCCAATCCCATAAGATCAGCCTTACCCTTTGAACGCCAGGACATTAGTCGAGCAAATAGAGACATGGGTCAGAGAGCTCGATTGTGAATGTTGTGGGTTCGATTCTCCCTTCCCCCCAGGTCGGTTGATATTTATTATGTGGAAACCCTGACTTTGGTTGATACTCCGTGACAACCACTAATTAGTTAGACGTCAAGGGTTGGCGAAATGAAGCACAAGGCCCACATGCCGGACTAGTTCCCCCTCCAGTACCAGTACCGGTACTAATTGAACTCTTACTAGACGGCACAAGGCCATTACTTATTTTATTCATCTATTAGCCAATAAGCTCACCACTTTTACACATCCATTTTGATCACCGGTTAGCTATCGTCTCAGTTATATACATTCAGAACAGTTAAGGGATTAGGTGGCGTAAAGCTATTTTCGCCCATATTTCCGATTAAATCGTCCTTCTGTCTTTATAGTTTATGCAATACTTTATTTTTAAAAATACTTTTTTTTTTCTTTATAGGCCTTAGTAAAGCCTGCTTGCAGTTCAATATAATTTTGCTCTCAGCACAAAGGCTGGCCATTTCACTAAAGGAATATCATCCCTCATAAAAAATCTACATAAGTTCTTATTTTAATTTTATTTATTTATATATACATTACATCATGTTTTAGTCTTTCATAGAGCCTAATGGCCAGTTGCTCCCGATGTGTCTCAAGAGGTACTGTTTGTAATTCTAGCGCAGATATTGGAGTTGTTCTGCTCCCTCCTGTAACGAGTCTAATGGCTTGATTCTGGATTATGTCGAGCTTGTGTAATATCGCGTCCGAAGCAGTGATAACAAGTTCTCCTCCATATTCAATAACAGGGCGGACATATGTTTTGTAGGCAAGTGTTGTAACATCCCCCGTTGCTCCCTGTTTTGAGCCACCTAACGTCTGTATTAACGAAAGTCGTGTTGAAGCCTGTTCTGTTTGTTTTTCAATATGTTTATTCCAGGAGAAGATTTTGGATCGAAGATGGAACATAAAAGGGACACCAGGAACATCATTCCATCAGTACACTACCATAATCGTAGTATCCATTCAGTCCCGACCCATTTCACTTGTTTTGGCAATAAAATAAAATAATCACACAGAGGCCATGTCGGGCTATCTTTTATTCCGATGCCGTGGAAATGCTTCTGAAGGAAATCATGCCCTGTGAGCATTCTGAAGCATGCCACGGCTTTAGAGGTTCTGTTTTATTATAATTTTCGTTGAATCCATGACAAGAGGAATATCTGGTTGGATCATTCCAGAACCTAGTTTGACCAGTTTGTCAGCTTCACCATTTCCTTGGAGCCCGCAACGCCCTGGTATCCACTGGAAAGCGACTTCTGTCCCATTTTTCTTAAATCGGTACAAATACAGATCGCACTGAAGGACATTTGGATTCATATTATATCCATTTTGAAGAGACAAAATGGCTGCCTGTGAATCAACAAAGAAAGTTCTTTTGTTTCCGTTCAACTAATCTCTCAAGGCCCGAGTGAATGTCCTTTTCTTCCTTCAAACTTTGTGGCTATATTTCTGACCGGGGTGACAAGATGAAACTTCTTTGAATAAACTCCAGCTCTGGCATGTTTGCATGCTTTCAGCCCAGAACTATTAGTATATTCATGGAGCCATTCTGTTTCTGAGAATCGTTTTCCGATGGGTTATAGCGTTTAGTTGGTGAATTGGTGTTGAACCCTTAGAAACGTTCTGAATAAATTGGCTCATGAATGGAACTTGTATCAATGACGGGAGAGGCTCCCTTTCAGCTAGTTCTAGTCCTTTTCTTTGTATCAAACCTTCCACTGCCTTAGTGAAAGTAATTTGTGTTTTAAGGCGTTCAGGTGCGGGTTCATAGGTACTCCAGTAGCTGATCTTAAGACGTTTTAGCCTTTCATAGAGCGTAATGGCCAGTTGCTCCCGGTGTGTCTCAAGAGGTACTATGCCTGTTTGTTGTTCTAGCGCAGATATTGGAGTTGTTCTGCTCCCTCCTGTCACGAGTCTAATGGCTTGATTCTGGATTATGTCGAGCTTGTGTAATATCGCGTCCGAAGCAGTGATAACAAGTTCTCCTCCATATTCAATAACAGGGCGGACATATGTTTTGTAGGCAAGTGCTATAACATCCCCCGTTGCTCCCTGTTTTGAGCCACCTAACGTCTGTATTAACGAAAGTCGTGTTGAAGCCTGTTCTGTTTGTTTTTCAATATGTTTATTCCAGGAGAAGATTTTGGATCGAAGATGAAACATAAAAGGGACACCAGGAACATCATTCCATCAGTACACTACCATAATCGTAGTATCCATTCAGTCCCGACCCATTTCACTTGTTTTGGCAATAAAATAAAATAATAGATTTATTTGTAACATAAATATAGTATTCTCCAATCAAGATATTTAAAACGTTTGCATTATTTTCCTATGTATTGTTTTACTTTTAAAGTTATAAATAGATATTACTTTGATTAAATCTGGATCTTTTAACAATTTTTCTTGCATGCCACCATATATATACATATAGATACGGATAGTAAATCGGAAAATATATTTGACACTTTTTTGTATGCATTTTCTTGGTAGTTTATCGTTGACCGACTCCAGTTTATCTTAAAATTATCCAGAACACCTTGGGTGTCGCATCCATAGGTCAGGAAGTCGAACGAACTTAGTCGGGAGGAACTTTCAAGTAGTTTCCACCGATCATACTCACTTAAGCTACATTACTACCGTGAACTTTTTAAATATATAATTTTATTTTATTAACGTTTTTATTCTAATTACGTATTATAGTTAATTATTTTTTACTATTGAACTAAGTAAGTGACAAAAAATAGCACATTTGATTTTTCCAAACTACAGAGTAATCTATGGTTATCGACATGACCATCCACCACTTCGTTTCAAAATGGCGGCGTATCATGTTTTATATAAGCTGCTTTGGAATTATAAGTAAAAACCATTAAAAATAAAATTCTAGTTTATTCCTTGCACATCCCCGAAAAGGAGGAAAAAGATTATGAAATACTATAAAATTTGTTTGTGCTTAACATAGAAATATATTTTGATAAAATGTTTCATTTGAAGAGGAAATCAAATTAATAACAAAAAATATAGAAACATACCAGCTAAAGAACTTTCAAAACATGTTTTATATAACTTTAAAATATTTTCTGTGCATGAAAATTCTGTGCTTACCATAATTTATTTTTTTCATATGGCGGAACATTTCATATGGTTATATGAAAAATAATTTAACTATTTATATACTTAAATAATTAAAAAAAATCATTATAGGACTATTGAGATTAAATGAATATGATCAAGCTTAGAACGAATTTTAACTAACAATATCTATGATAAACTTCGCCAAAAGCGATACATATATTCAAATGAGATCGACCAGATATTTTGGTATATTACCATTTGTAAATAGTAGACTACTGTGTAATAATTTGCAGTGATTTTTATTTTCAGGTTTTTGAGGTTCTGGCCGTTTTCCCTCTTTGCCTGATGGAATTCAATCTTCATCAAATCATCTCAACATGATGATACGTTTCATTTTACTAAAAAATTCATCAAATAAAACAGTTTTATATTTTTTTAAAAATAAATAACTAAATTATATACTTATGGCTTGTATCCTCCCTTGCCCCCTTAAATGACTAAATTGTTAAATCTTATGATTTAGAGCTGCTGAGAGTTAAACGTTTTTTTAAGTGAAAACTTATTTAGGGCGCGTATTGCACTTCTTTGTGGAGAGTGAATTAGATTGATCCGGAAGATTTTAACGCTCAGATAAAATCGGCTATAGTCGATTAATTAAAATGTTTTTACGTATGGTTTAAAATATTTTAGAAACTAAAATTAGGATCTGCATACTGTGTGGGCAATTGTTCAGCATTTCATCCACTATGTAATACGCTATAATTCAAAATTGTATCTTAAAGTGAAGCCGTGTTAGGAAGGCGGAAAAGTAAAAAAACAGTGTCGAAAATCAAATGATAACGAGGTTAGCTGAATATATGGATTAAAATATTTCAGATACTAAAAATCGAACCTGTATACTGTAACAGATGGAAATGTTTACCATTTTGTCTTCTTTGTAATGAGCTATTATACAAAATTTTATCTTAACCCAACACCGTATTAGAGAGTGGGAGAGGGAAAAAGGCAGAGTCCAAATCCGAATGATAATATATAGTTCAAATCCTAATATTGTTACAACATTGAAATTTTATTTTAACAACAGTATTAACAATATATAAAAAAGAAGAAGATAAATAATATAAATGAGAATATTAGCAGTAATTCTTAGGAATAATGGAAAAAATATAATAATATAGAATTACATAACCTTCCAGCAGGAGATTTCCACATAAATATTACACAGTCGTTGGATAC